GATAAACTAGTCTGAGTTTCTTTTCTTGCTATCTTAGGATATAAAATTTAAATAGATTCTCTTCCTTGTAAAGATTTTTTTCATTGTAAAAGAATCAAATTAAATTTTAATAAAGTCAGAAACATGGTCTCACTATTAATATTTAAAAAAAAAAAAATTTAAAAATTATCATGATATTATGAGATTGATTTACTAATTTAGTAATTTTATACACAAAATTAATAAACAACAATAAAAATAACTTAAAAATAAAAATAAATATTTACAATAATTTTTATTATAATACTAATATAAATAAGTTTAAATCATATATTTAAAATAAAATTATTTTTTATAATTTCTAATTTGTATTTTAAATTTCTTATCTAACCGATTAATAAAATTTAATAAATTTATTTCAGATTTATAAACAAAATTTATTTTTAAAATTTTAATTTCTTCTAATTCTGAAAAAATTTTTAATTCAAAATAGATCTCAATTCTACTTCTTATCAATTCTTTTGATTCGTCTTTATTTAAAAGTAGCTTATCAGTTTTATTTAGCAAAAAATCTGCTAAAAATTCAAAATATTCGAATTCATATTGATCAGATAATGTAATCCAAAATTCTCTTATATTTTTATTTTTTTTTATTGCAAACCAATATTCATACTCAACATTTGAATCGTATACTTTTAGTTTTTGATACGTTACTTCTATTTTATTTTAAAAAATATTTATCTAAATCTAGTATTTATATAATTTTTACAGATTTAGTAAATTCATACAAATACGATATGCAATGATTGAAATTGATTTACTGATTTAAAACGTGATTAATTTTGAGATTAGTAATTCATACAAATTCAATATATAATGATTACAGATATTGATCTTCAAAAGCAACTTAAACAAGTTATTTTAAAATTTTTATTTTTATTTATTATATTATTATTTTAAATTCAAATAATCAAGAACCACTTCCATCATATTTGGTTCTCAAAAAATGCAAGAATAAGAGCTGTAAGTTTTCGTTTAAAATTATTAATTTAAAATATTTTTAATAATTAAATATTGTTTTTTTGGTTGTGCCTGAGGATCTCGCTTCTTTGTTTTTGCAAATACGATACATTCAACATTATGTTTTATGCAATTTAAATATGGTCTTTGTTGAGCGTATTTTAATTTCATTTTTTGGCAATATTGACATGTAGATGAAACTTTTGTCTTTGTTGTCTTTGTTGTCATTTTTGAATCCTATCTGATAAAATCTAGTTACTTAAATAATCACTTTGGATAAACTATTTTAATCTTTTTTTTAATCCTATAAAAAAATTATTTTACAAATTATGTAATGAATAGATAAAGATTATTAATTCAATTCTTTTCAATGATTGATAAGTCATAATTTGTCATCAATTCTAAATTTAGAAAAAATTCCAAAGATCTGTTCTATTATCAAATCTTCATTAAATAATTAGTTTATTCGTTTATCAGAAATCTGCAAAATCTGCAACAGAAATAAGAAATACTCAAAGCATGTATAATATTAGAAATTGCTATATCCTAAATTATACAAAATTCTAAAGATCTGTTCTGATTATTAATTTAACCAAAAATGAAAAACTAAAAGAATCTTTTTTTAAAAAATGCCAATCATAAGATAATACACATCTATTAAATAAATATTTACAAACAATTGCTATATGCAGGTTGATTATTGATCATTACGATAAAAAATTTTTTTAGTATAAGATTCTCAAAAAAATGCACTTGAATAATTTGAATTTCATACTATTTTCAAAAATTCTCAAAAATTCTAGATGCCTTTTCAAATTATCTTTATTATTATCCTTATCAACTTAACCATGTCTGCACTTCATTCTGGCTGAATTTTTTAAACCGATTTAGGAAGAATTCCTGCAAATCAAGAAGAAGTTTTAGAGACTCTTTCTGATATCGATAACTCACCTACATATGCTGAAGCTCTTCGCTCTTCAGGTATTTAATTTCTCAAAAATTTAGTTCTTTTTTGAAAAAATTAATTTCAAATTAAATTTTTAAAAATTAAAAATTAAAAATTTTAAATACTACAAACATGTCTTTGGAACAAACAGCACAAAACACTCAATTCCAAATTTCTCAATCTGGAGCTTCTCAAATTCAAGAACAAGAAAATGTTGATTATCTTCGAGAAAGACTTACAGATGAATTTTCAAACTATGAAAAAAGAATTAAATCTCTCGAAGAAGACAACAAATCTTATAAAAATTATTTAAATATTTTAATAATTTTTATTTTTATTTTATTTTTTTCTTTTGAAATTTATATTTTTTATACTCATCATTTATATGATGAAAATTATCAACTTCATAAAGAACATGCTGAAGTTAAAATTAGAAAACAACTTTGGAACAGTAATGTAGAAAGAATACAAAAATTTGTATTCAATTACTTAGAAGATCAAAAAATTTTATAACTATAGTTGATAGTTTGTATCAACAAAAATTATTTAATCGATTTTCTTTGTTTGTGTTCATTGTTTGCACTATATGAAAAACAAATATAAACAAAGATAATCGATTACATATAATATTTTTATTTTTTAAATAGTTATAATTTTATTAATAAATTAAAAAGTTTTTACAAATAAATATTTATATAATTTATAAAATAATTACATAAATTTATAAGATTGATAATTTTGTCCTATAAAAAATAATAATGCTCTAGGTTTAAAAAACCGATTTCTATCAGATGTATCAGTGTCTTCCCAATCAAGCTCTTCAATTAAAAAAGCTTGTATATTATCATATCTTGTTACTTTAACTTTTTCTTCTATTAACATTTGTTTCTCCATATTTTGAAGAACAATTTCAACAACTCTTCGTACTGTTGGACCCTAGCCAAGAATTCTAGCCAAATCAGAATGAAATTCTTCTTTAAAAAGATGAAGATAAGAAAAACCAGGTGAAGTAGGAGTTGAAAAAGAAAAAATCATTTTGTTAAATTTTCATTTGTTATTTTTTTTGAAAAAATTTTTTTAATCGAGGAGAAAGAAAGTTTTCGAATAGATATTTTTATTTTTGTTTATTTGTTTGTTTATTTATATTTTTTTCAAAAAAATTTATTGTTGATAAATTTGGTAATTTGATCAAACAATTGGACTTTATTTAAATAAACAAATAAGAATTTACACAAATTTAGAAGCTTTTATAATTTATCCATTTAAAAATATTTAAGAACCAATAAAATTAAATTAATTTATCAATTTTTTCTTTAATTTAAACAGAATAACCATTGTGATTTCCTATCTTTTGATCATGTGCTAATTTGAAATCAATGCATTGTTGTTTTGCTTGTTCACTAGTTCTAGTTTTTGTAACTATTTTGTTTTTTGTTTATTATTTTCATACTATTGAAATCTTCAAGCTTGTTCATAATTCTTAAAAAAAATTTTATTTATTCCGCTAGAATTATTTTTAAATAATTTACAATTTAAATGATTTTTACTTGGTGTTGTTTTTCTTAAATTTATTTTATGATTATCAAAACCAATTCTGTTAATATAGTTAATCATCTTATAGTTTGGATAAAGCATTCAATGAAATTTTATAGTTTTATTTTTAGTTCTTGCTATAATATAATAAGTATTTCTATATTTTGTTTTCCAACAACACCAAGTAAAATTTTTGAGTAAATCAAAATTGTTGATATCACAAAGAAAAGTGATATTTGGTTTCTGTGTTTTGACTTCTAAATAAAGTGTAAAATTGATTTTGATAAGATGACATTTATTAAGTTTGTGTTTTAGTTTATTGAGATTCTTGTATTTTTCTCAATCTGTAATGATTTCAAAGTCTTTGAATTTTTCTTGCCACTTTATTTTTTTATTATTTACAAAAAAAACAAATAAATTTCTTTTATAAAGATTTAAAAGCTAAGCCACAATTTTTGCAATAAATCAAATTTGAGAATTTCAAGTTTTTTCAATTGAGTTTTTTGCAAATATGAGTTTTTTTACCGACAAATCAAATTTGAGAATTGCAAGTTTTTTCGTTTTGAGTTTTTTGCAATATAAGTTTTTTCAAACAATAACTGGCGAATCAAATTTGAGGATTTCAAGTTTTTTTGTTTTGAGTTTTTTGCAATATGAGTTTTTTCAAACAATAACCGATGAATCAAATTTAAGAATTTTAAGTTTTTTCGTTTTGAGTTTTTTGCAATATAAGTTTTTTAAAACAATAACTAGCAAATCAAATTTGAGAATTTTAAGTTTTTTCGTTTTGAGTTTTTTGCAATATGAGTTTTTTCAAACAATAACTGGTGAATCAAATTTGAGGATTTCAAGTTTTTTCATTTTGAGTTTTTTGCAATATGAGTTTTTTCAAACAATAACCAGCGAATCAAATTTGAGAATAGTAAGTTTTTTCGGTTTGAGTTTTTTGCAATATAAGTTTTTTCAAACAATAACTAACGAATCAAATTTGAGAATAGTAAGTTTTTTCGTTTTGAGATTATTTCAATGAGTTTTTTCAAACAATAAGGGACGTGCCAAAAATCAAGTAATTTTTTAGAGGGGAGAGAGGTAAAAAAAGTTAAAATTATATATAAAAACCTGATTTTTTTTATATTAAGAGGGGAGGGAAGTAAGCCTCTGATAAAAAATAATCAGATGATAAATGACACTACCCTAACTAACAAATCAAATTTGAGGATAGTAAGTTTTTTCATTTTGAGTTTTTTGCAATATGAGTTTTTTCAAATAATAACCAGCAAATCAAATTTGAGGATAGTAAGTTTTTTCATTTTGAGTTTTTTGCAATATAAGTTTTTTTAAACAATAACCAATGAATCAAATTTAAGAATGGTAGATTTTTTCATTTTGAGTTTTTTGCAATATGAGTTTTTTCAAACAATAACTAACGAATCAAATTTGAGGATAATAAGTTTTTTTATTGAGTTTTTTGTTTACTCTGCTTAATTTTACTTCTTATTATTAATACTTATTTTTTGACAAATAAAATTTGAGTATTTAACTAACCAATTAAAATTTGATTATAAATTTTGTATTACTTAAAATAATTATTTAATATCAATTATTTTTTATAATAAAATTATTTTTTAACGATAAAAAAAATCAATTCGCACTGAATTTGGAATTATTTTACTTCAGTTAATAACTTTTTTAAATATGAAATTTGCAAATGAAAATATAAAAATCCTTTATTAAATACTTTAAAAACCATTTTATTAAAAAATATAATAAAATTTGGCTTGAAATAAGAGAATCAAAAGTAATCCCCGCAAGAGGTAAAATTTATTTATTTATTAAAAATAATTTATATAAATATTTAATATATATAAATAATTATTTAAAAAATAGCAAAACGAAAAAGAAAAACTATTCACAATTAATACTACAAATTCTATTAATTACAATACTTCTATTATTATTAATTCTTGTACTGCAAAAATCATTTTTAACTTCAATAGTTTTTAGTTTTTTATTTACTTTTTCTGTTTTTTCTTCAGTTTCTTCTACTTTTCTTTTTTTTGTTAAAGGAATCGAAGTTTGAACAACTTCTAATTTTTCCTCTTTAGTAAAATAATCTTCATCTTGAGCTTCGTTAATTTTTTCTATTTGTTTTTGTTGGATAGACTGTTAAATAACTGAACTATTTTTAAATAACGATGCAAAAAATTGACCAATATTTTTTTCTTTTAAATTAGTCTTTTTAACTTGTTTTCTTTTGGCTTCTTCTGTTGCAAGAATTGTTTGATATTCTTTTTGATGGTGTTTAGCATAATGATTTTTAAATTGGTTGTTTGAACATCAATATTGTAAAAAGCTTCACAAATTATACAAATAAAATGTGTATTAAGTTTGTTTAATTTGAAATGATTTCAGATTTCGTATATAGTTCTCATATTGAATATTTCTTTAATATTTTTTTTTAAAAATAAAATATTCATTTTAAATAAAAATTTTTAAAATAAAATATATTATAATAAATTCTAAATTCAATTTAAAAATTCTAAATTTGATTTACTAAAATTAATCTAATACTAAATTCAAATATAGAAATTTTAAATTTGTAAATAAAACATTTCTTATATAACTTAATATAGAAATTTTAAATTTGATAAGAAAAGTTTTCTCACAATATAGATATTTTAAATTTATAATGAAAAATTTTTCACAAATAATTTTAACTAAATATAGAAATTCTAAATTGAAATTTGATTCTAAATTCTAAAAAATTGCACTAATTAAATTTTAGCAATTATCATTAAAAAAATATTTAAAAATGTTATAATTTTAATGATTCAAAAAATATCTACAAGATGATTTTTTTTGTATCTAACCAAACTTCTGAAACTATAAAAGAAAAAAAAAAAGTCTCAAAAAGACAACTCAAAGTTGAAGAAAGTTTTGAACAAGAAAACAAATGACTCAAACATGAATTAAAAAAAAAAAAGATTAAAAATAAACCCTTCAAAATCAGAATAATGATTTAGAAAAAGAATAAAACCAAA